AGTGAAAAACAAGGTACTTACTTCAGTGATAATGTAAATCATTGTCTCCTTATTAGTTTCCCAGTCGAATCCAGTAAGCAACGCATCCACTGATTCGAAATTGTGCTTTCCATCTTTGTTCAAAACTGCTGTGCTTGTCAATAACACTTCGTGAGGACACTGGTTGCCACTGCTTCTTTTCAAGCCTAAACTGAATTTATAGCAATTTAAGGTTCGAAAAACTAATTGAAGTTAAAGCTTTTTCTTTTAAATACTAATATCTCAAGAAAATTATTTGAATTTTGCATTTGAAGTTTAAAGATAGGTTTCTTCTCTAAACTTATAAGTTAATTTGCCTAAGTTGACATGGATTGACCTAAATTAAATTTGTGGTAAAATTATTTAAATTAAAGTGTTTTTTTTTAATTTTTTATTCGACTAAAATTTTTTCGACTCTAATATTTGTATGTTTGTAAATGACCATGATTGATAACAATTATTTGATTATTGATGGGAGGATCGATACAAGGCTTTCCATTCGGCGTAATGCACCATCCATCAAGCGTGGCTATGTCAAGTTTTTTGGCCATTAGATGCATGTTTCTGAAAGCGCCTACCTATTCTGTTACATGCTCTCGCCGTAATTCGAAGTAGCCTAGATGAATTTGTTTTTCCTTACTGTTTTTAAGTAGCTCTATTAAACGATTTTCCACTTTTACTCGGCAATTTTATGTAAATAAGGAATTTTATTCCTTAACAGGGCCAGGATGTTGTTTTATTGAAGTTGAGCATCTCATCTGGTCACTAGGATTATTAAGATTGAATTTCCCATTTTAGGATGTTTCAGGAATTCTACACAGGAGGCTCAACACGCCAGGCCCCTCGATCTCTGTAAACTGTTTAATAAATTTCTGCAATATTTCTCCATACCTAGAAAACTGTCTGATTCCGCTGAACCTTTCTGCCGCTGCATCACTGCCGCTGTTATTCCTTCTTTGGCTTTCAGATTCCTGAAACAATGCTAACTTTTGCGAACCAGTGCTGCCTACTCCACTCATGCAGTTTTGGGATTAGTTGGAAAGTTATTAAATGGTTCAGTGCAATAGATATGCAGCAGCCCTTCACCCTTCTTCAGTACTTCTCCCTGTATTATCAACCCTCATTGTCCCTTTTCTCATCCTCAATTTTCCTTCTTCGTCCTGCGACCTTCCAATTTCTCCCGCATGGCTCCAATCTGGCAAGAAATGTCGCCACGTGACACAAAAGGAAATCAGGATGTGAAAGGCATTTCTTACCTTTACTGGGGTTCCGGTGCGCAATCTAAGGAGGGCCATAGAACCTCATTTCGACTCTGTTCCCTGACACTGAAATTTTTGGTTTTATTTTTCGAAACGGAAATTTCAAGGGTGAAGGATCATTCAGCTACATGATAATCAACTTCCGACAAAAAAAGAATTTGAAAGCGTAGTAAAAACAGCTGCTATTTTTCAAATTGTCAACGAATTTGCCACAAACCTAT